AGACAATGGGAACCAGCATCATAAACCTGAGCAAATTTAAAGAACGGAATTAAAGCAATACAACCCAAATGTTTTCTTCAAAAATAAATGTTCTTATATGCAGGATCAACAAGAGGTATGAAAAGCTGAGCATTTAGAGAATAAGGAGTACCTTGAAAACCTCCGCATTCACAAAATGAAATCCGGTGACCCTTCTTCACGGGATTTCAACGCGTCGACAAGCCACACCAGCGCTTTCCCACCAAACCCAATTGGGAGTTTCGATCTGGGCTTGGAAATGCAAAACAGCTCAAAATTCGACCACCTCTTGTCCGGGACCAAGGCCTGGTCCAGGCGGCAATCACCATTAAGCACCTCGACCACCGTATAATTAACCCTGCTCTCCAACCCGAGCAAAAGGTCGAGGTTGCGGAGCCTGACATCGGCGTCAATGGCCACCACCGAGAACCCGAGGCGGGCCAGCGAGAGACCCACATTTGCGGTGGTAATAGTCTTTCCAACTCCACCTTTTCCGGAGGTGATCACCACAACGCACGGAGTCTCCCCTGCCAGCTGCGGCTTCCTATTCCATTGCAGGGCGGATGCAATGGCGACTGAACGCCTGGGTTTTGGGTGGGATTTTAGGGTCTTGGTAGGGTTTAAAGGTTTGAAATGAAGGACACAGCGACATGGGTTCAGCATTTGGAGGGTAGAATTGCAATCACAATTAAACACCTCTGGCAATGGGATCCACCCCCATCTCGGCAATATCCCAAGCAACTGGAGCCATAACAGCAGATTTTGAAGGATTCCCCTCCATCAAAAACAGAAAAATGGCAAAGAAGAAGAAAGAAAATGCAAGAACCAAAAGAAGCAATGACTGGAACAGAGCCAGAAACCGCAACCGAATCAGAGCCAGAAATCATGGCCGGAACAGAACCAGAAGCAATCACTGGAACGGAGCCAGTAGCAGAAGTCGGAAGCGAATCGGAAGCAGAGGGATTAACGGCCATCACAAGATAACCGGCCAAGATCAAGCCACAAGATCAGAGAAATTTTCCTCAAACGGAAGAAAACAAAAAAGAAAAGGAAGAAATCAAGAGAAAACAAAAAGAAAATCAAGAGGAAGTCAAACAAAAAGGAAAGGAAGAATCGGGAAACTCAAAAGAAAACCCCATCCAGCCAAAAAGGATAAATTGCATAAAATCCCAAGAAAATTGGGGTTTGAACCAAAAGGGGGCAGCCGTACCAAAAGCCATACAACGGGGGCCACGTATACAAAGATTGCTGCTGAAAAGTAGAAAGATTCAAGAAATGCAGTCGTAAAAACGTGGAAAATCAAGAAAGGACCTGAACAAATCTACAGAGTAATTAATCTCAAACAGAAACTTTTAAATTGCGCTAGGAATCGCAAAGAAAAAACCTGTGCTGCACTCTTTTTTCCTTAAACTAGATTTTTATCCCACAGGGTTTTTTCTAGTTAAGGTTTTTAACGAGGCAGTCATGGTTAAAAAGTAAGAACCTGTGCAGAATTCAAATCCAAGATCAGCAGAGCAAAAAGACAGACACTTGTTGAAGTTTTCGTTATCCTCAAACTTCTTCGTTCGGGGGCAAATGTTATACCCAAAAAGTAAGTCCTATAATAATTAGGACACGTGTAGACAATCTAGAGACAATCCTATCAATATAAGAATAGAATAAATCCTGATAGGATAAGAATACCCAAACACCAATTAAATAAAATTGTATTTCTAGAATAACTGTATCTAAGCATCCTATAAATACCTCTAGGATCAACCTAAGGAGGTAGATTATTTTCCACTATTATTCTCCCTCTATTGTAAACACTCTCTATCAATAAAGATCTTGGTCTCACACCATCTACTCTATTTTTACGGTTAACAATCCTCAACATATCCAATAACAGAGCAAGCCATTTTGAAGATTATTATAACTTTATAAGGCTACATATCTGATTATCAGTAATGTACACATGTCAATTACATTTTCTTCATATATTGAAGAGCATCTACTTTAAACAAAATGAGATTTTATTGCACCATTTTCTTCTGTATAAACCCGCAAACTATCGATTTACTTATGTGTACACAACAATTACAACAGCACCATTTGAAACGAAGGTTGTATATACACATATGGAAAACCAGCCTTGTTATCCAGCTTTACTCATGGTGGCCTTCTTTAGAGACCTTGATGATGGGGTTGGGGTGCTTAAATGGCTTTGGGTGGAAGAAGAGGCAGATAGCTGACATGTCATCCATTGCAATGCTTTGTCTCTTATATTTCCAGGCACGAGCAGCAAATTCCACCAATCTCTTGGCTGATTTTTCTCTATCCTCTGTTGAAGAAACAATCTTCACTGCTTCTTGATTGGAAATCACATCCCATACCTGGGTAGAAGCAAGCCATACCAACGAAAAAGAGTGAGTTCTTTTATGCAATAAAAGAGAAAGAATAATGTCAACAAGGCCTTACGAGTTTTCTGGTTCAAATTCTCATCCTGAAGTGTGTAAAATCATCACAAATTAAAGAAAATTGAAGAAATTGCATACCCCATCTGTGGCTAGAATGACAAACTGGTCTTTGTTTGTTATGTTTCTTTGGGTAACATCAGGCACAGAAATGAGTCCAAAGTCTTTTACGCAGTAATCTCCAAAGGCTCTTGATATTGCTAATCCTGGTGTCTCTGCATTTGGCATCCAGACCCTATAGACTCCTGGTTCATCTCTTAAACAGAACACTCTCCCTTTGGACTGTGTTATTCTCTCAGCTTCCTCTGTTACATTAACATAAACAAGAAACATATAGGTGTATATATACACAATCCAAAGAATGCACACAAGGATTCATAGAGGAAACAAGAGAGCCAACCAGGGATATTAGGCTTGAAATCAACCGTAAGTTGAAGTGGTACTAAGTTGCCATCATCAGAGGTTGTTGCCAGAACAGCTCGAGAATCACCAACATTTGCTATCACAAGATGTTCACCCTGATCATCATCATTGAAGAAATTCAATGAAACTGGTTTTGTGATGAGTTGAAACTCACTTCTAACCTCAAACATCCATTGTGAAAATTAAAACTACTTGAATCGTTTACCAAATATTTTGATGTGGAAATTTATTCCAGTTTTTAGGGGTAGAGAAACGACAAACAAGCATAGCAATCACAGGAATAATCCACAAACAAGCAAAACACAGATTGCTAAAAATTGCACAAACCGCCATATAGAGGTAACATGGCAATTTTGTTCTTTCTCAAAGAAGAAATCAAGTTGCAAAATATACCTGTTTAACAATTGTCAAAGCCGTGGAACCACTGTGAAATGAATCAATCCTGCGATGCTGCTTAAGCTCTTCATCTATGGCAGCATATGTTTTCAAGTAAGATTGTTTCCACACATCAAACAGTCTAAGGTTCCTATCCGACTCCATGTCCCAATCGGGCTCAAGTGAGGTTAAAGCAACAGTTTCTTGCCAGTTACACAACAAAGAAGAGGGCACTGATTCCCTCACCCTTTTAGCTACAATATGTCCCCAAGGTCCATGCCCATCAAAAATCCCACAGAAGATCATATCTTCTTGGCATCCAAATTCCTGAGAAAACCCATGACAAATTAACCCAAAATGAACAGGACAAAGCACAGAGAAACTCATACAAATTAAAAACTCAAATCCCATCAAAATTTCTTTGTTGTTTATATCAAATGATTCAAATATAGCTGCGTATTTGATCATTTCAAATGGGGTTTTTAGCATACCTCCCAAACAACTGTGCGATCCTGGTTAATTCCTTTCTGCCCTCGCTTGGAGCAAACAGAGGCAAAATTATCAGACTTATTGGACTTGACAACGCCGGACGAACTCCGCATCAACTCATTCTTCTTCGCGTCTTTTGCTAAGGCGTCTGCAGCTTCCCTTCCAACATCACTCCGACCCAGATTCCTCCCTTTCTTAATCGATACACTTCTCGCCAATCCATCAAAAAGCGACGGAAAGAGCACCATGGCCTCTACTCTCTGAAAACCCTGCAGTGCAATAACACAACAAAACTTTTCATTATGTTTAGTTCACGATTCGACAAACTAAGGACTCCATCTGGGTCGCCTAGAAACTGTTTGAAAAAATGAGAAAATGAAAACATAACGTTAAACCCACCAAAGAAGAGGATCCGCTCTGCAAAAATCTCACCTTTCCGATTAACAATCAGCTAAATAACTGAAATCTCTGATTCCCTTAAAAGCTTTGACGTCGCCAGCCGGAATGTGACGCTACCCGTTGAAACCAGCTGATGCTTGTAAATGAGAAGGCCTCAGCTTCCTTGTACTCCATATTTCTCTGCAATTTGCAGGCTTCTTAAGTGAACGTACGTAATGTTATAAGATATGGACATCTTTACAGCAATCGATCCAATTACCTTAATACCCTACCTTTGGTCCTCTAAACATACATAACCGAAGGGTATTTTTGACATTTTACATAACGGCATGGACCCACATCATGGGTCTTCCCTTTAAATGTACACTTAGTTTAAGATATCATTAAGAGAAAGGAGATTATCAATTCGCCAACGAAAACATTGGAAAGGAAGTCGGTCTCCAAATTATAATTTGATATTAACAAACTTATGATGGGTAATTAAATAAGATTGTGTTTGTGGTTAGGAATGAATAGGGATAAATATAGTATATATTGAAGAGTGGTTAAATGAAATTGTTTGATTGTGGAAGGAAAGAAGCTTGTTGACTTACAAAGAGATGGTTAGTGCTTTAACTAATCATATTTAAGTCACTAATTTAATGGGTCAATTGTTTTTTTTTTTTTCTCCCCTAATTGAAGAGTATCTTATTTGTTTGTCTTGTAGGAGATAAGATAAATTTTTATGCTCCAATTTGAGGAACCAAACACATGTTTATCAATTAGGTGGTCGACTCATGGGACCATAGATGATGATGCATGATGGGCTCAATTTCTTCTCTATTGATCTCAAATTTTAATTTGGAAATAATGAGTCTAAGTTTGAAGAGTTGGATGAATAATATCTATTATTGTACTCACTTAAAACTTATCATTTAGAGATATCATCTTAAAAGATTGACCATCTCATGAGGAAGATGAGGTTTATTTGTATTTTGTAGTAAGGAACAAATTTTTCTACCATTTGGTTAGGCCATCATGCCAAACTTAAAGGATTCGTGGACATGATCTCTTTATGGTTTCTCCCAATTGACCAAGTCAAACAATGTTTCATATGGCCTTTATAATATATCTTGGAATTATTTGATTTAATCCAACAGTTAGAGAGTTCAATTGGCATAAAGAAAAAAAAAAGAGAGAAAATTTAGAAAATGTGCATGATTGGTGGTATAATTGTGGACTTGGGAAGTTGGGACCCAAGTATTGCTAGATTCTGGTTGGAGAATGGAATTAACTAGAATGTCAAGATGATGGCTAGACATCATTTCAAAGATTTGAGTTGGAAGATGTCTCTGTTGAGGTGGGTGGGTTCCATTACTTTGGAGGGCGAAAATGGTAGGGGACTACTGCATTCAAATTCTGTGGTGGCTGTTGCTTCCTTCTAATTCTATGCATGTCAAAAGGGCCATAATGCTTTTGCCATTTGGATTTGTGGACTTGCGGATTTGCGTAGTGCGCCTAATTCTTGGTGATATTCTTCTCAATTGTGAGATTCGTGTCTGTCCAATTTTGTGGTCACTAATCATTCTTTTTTTTTTTTTTTTATCTTGATTATATAACGGGAGGCAATCATCTGTTATCTTTTATCCTACTCCACCCACATGTTATACGATTTAAATTTAAAACTTTTTATTTTCAATGAAAGAAAATGATCACTGAGTTATTTAAGTTATTGGTAATCATTATTTAAGTTATTGGTAATCATTATTTAAATTAAAGGGGTAATAAATATATATTTTTTATATTATTTTAATTTATATAAAAAAGATAAATATTAATTTTAAATTAATTAATTAAATAATTAAAATCATTTACATATCAATAATATTAAAATAAATGTTAATTTCTATAATTTTTATATAAATTAATTATAAAAAATATATATTTGTTATACCTTTAATATGTAATCCTAAATAAACTGAAGGTTAGGGAGATCCAATATGAAATTCCAATGTTTTTTTCTTTCTTCTTCTTTAAAGTTTTGGGTTTAAGCCCACAAGTCCCCAACAACACTGTTTTAAACTTGAAATATGGACACCTTGAAGTGGAGCGACTTGATAACCTGTGAATCAAGATATAAACTATGCAGAAAAAACTAAAGACAGAAGGGAAGAGTGCAGCCATTTCATCAAAAGTATGTGGGTTTGTATGGCAACTACTTCTGGACAGGATTCCTACCAAGGCAAACCTATTCAAAAGGGGCATAATCACTCAAGCTTCTGAACTGATCTGTTGTTTATGTAAGGTGCATGTTAAAGAGAGACCACTTGTTCTTAAAATTCAAAATTGAGAAGATGATCTGGACTAAATGCTACAACTGGTGGAAACGTGCAGCCAGGAAATAAGGATAATTGCTGGGAAGCTTTTGGCCAACACATAACACACTTACTATATTCAAGGGCGAAGCAGGGCTGGGATGTGATCTGGTTTGCACTGGTATGGATAGTTTGGCTCACCAGAAATGGTAAAATCTTTAACAACGGGGATTAATGCCAAGAGGATGTTTGACTTAATCCAAGTAAAATCTTTCCTGTGGCTTACAAATAGAAGCAAAGTCAAGAACTGCTCATTTTCATATTGGCTTATCAACCCCTTTTACGTACAGCTTCTAGATATTAAGCAAACCATCTTATGGGAAAGTGATGTTCAATTTAAGATGTATACAAGTTTGAGTATCCCTCGTAGTCGTTATCAATAAAAATCTTTTGCCTTTTGGAGGAAAAAAAAAAAAAGAAATAGGGAGGGAAGAGTGTAGACATTTACAAAAGAGGGAAAATAAAATTACATTTGAGAGAATGAGACGCAAAACGACAAGAAAAATACATGTAAACCCCCCACTCCCTTTTTTTTTTTTTTCTTCATGTGTTATTCTGTTGGGGTATGGAGGAGAATTTGGAGTTGATTGAATAGAATGAAAATAATGGGGCTCTAATTAACTCCCCACTTAATGAAAAACCTGAGGAGATGCATAATATTCACTCTCTTTATACACTGGTCTTAAATCTTCTTTGCACATAAAATTCAAAGGGAAATAAACAAGATGTCCACGCACTGACTTTAATCTATCCATGGGATCTGTTTGTTTGACTTCTCCATTTTGGTGTGTTTCTAGCTTCTTAGGGGCTATACCTAAATCAATTGTATTGTGACCGAGTTTCTCCTTCAGGGATGCTATGGTTTGTCTGAACGTGGATCTGCATCCAGTCACGAGTGAAATAGAAGTTATTTTCTGTATAATGGAAAGAAGAGAGAAAGCAGGATTCTGATGAAGATTTCTTGTACCTGGAATGTATGTGATCATTGGGAACAGAAGAAAACACATCCTTATAAATGGTGGTATTCATCTGTGAATGAATTTGTTGCTTCCAGTCAGAATTCAAAAACAAATAAGAAAGCAAGAGAATCTTAACACAGCTCCTTCAAGTTGCATTCCTAGAAAGCTATATGTTATTATCTACCAAACTACCATAAGCAAAAGAAATTATATGTTGTTTTTGCATAACTCCTTTATTGTTAAAAGTTACAGATGTTTTCTGACATTGGGCAGTTGCAAATACAGAGTCTGGCTTAAAATGCATTCTCAGTGGGAGCAATGCCATAGGGACCGAACGGTGACACAGAAGAATTATAATTGAATATTAAACCTTAAACTTCAAACAATAAGAAAAATGTCGCATATGGACCCTAAAACCATTATAATTGAATATCAAATAAAGTTTAAGAACAACGAGGGGTTAGATCAAGTGGTAAGCGGCTTGCTTCAACTTAAGCAAGATCTTAAGTTCGAGACCTTGTGTATGCAGCAACTTTCGTTGGGAGACTCACCCACCATTTCAAGGTGCGCAACGCGGGTCGGTCCGGAGTCAAGGCGAAGCCCCGGATGGCGGGCAGGAAACCAAAAAAAAAAATAAAGTTTAAGAACCAACGAGGGGTTGGATCAAGTGGTAAGCGGCTTGCTCCATCTTAAGCAAGATCTCAAGTTCGAGACCTTGTGTATGCAGCAGCTTTTGTTGGGAGACTCACCCACCATTTCCAGGTGCACGACGCGAGTCGGTCCGGATTAGTCAGGGCGAAACCCGGATAGCGGGCAGGAAACCAAAAAAAAAAAAAAAAGTTTAAGAACTAAAAAGTGGCTGAAAATTTTAAGGGATCTAAATAAATTTAATTTGGTAAATTCAGGGACCAATTGCAGGATTATCCATAAATCAGACATCGGACTGCATTTCTACTAAATTGGCTTCGGCCCCTAAAGCATTATTCTTTCAGTAACTTCACTTTTTCCTAACAAATTGTTAAACCAACTCAGGTTCCGCAGTTTATCAATATTGCAGCAAGGTTTAAAAAGAAAAATGAAATTTAAAATTGATAATAAATATTCACAGTTCTCACCTTTGCAGTTGCGACCCATATATCTCTATGAGTTGAATCACTTATTGGGTCAATTATTTGATTCACCTGAGGGGGAAAGGAAAAGAAAGGACATAATATCAGTTGAATCCAGTCCAATTAACTAATGATATCTTACACGTGAGATTTTAGCAGAAATGGATGCACAAACCTCTCCTTGGCAGAGACCAAGGTGTTCAGACCACAATGAGAGGCGAAGACTCAAAGCAAATCTTCCAGCCTTCCATGGTTTTCCTCCCATACATGAATCAACTAACTCTTTGTCTTCAATAAGCACACCAATCTGGAAACAATAGTTTAGTGACATCAAAAGAACCTTTCTGGAGTAACTGTAACACAAATATGTAACAGGGTAAGAGAGAAGATGCAGAAAGTTGATGAATATGTGACTATAAGATTATGTCCTTGAGGTCAGCTGTATGATTAGATTAAAGTTGCCTTCCATCAATTGAATGAAAACCAGTTTTCATGTCTGAATAAGCCATAACCAAGCACCGAAGCTCAATACTGCCACAGTGCCACAGAAGAATTATAGCATAATATGAAGGGATCCAGGAATAAACTAACTAATACCTCAGAATCTCTTGAACCAAGCAAACTCCTATCATTGATATTAGCTGATCCAATCAAGGCAGCACAGTCATCAATAATCATGATTTTACTATGCACATATACCTGCAAACATTCACCATTGAGTTGCTAAGGCATCGTATTGCAGCCGTAAATCTTAACAGCATCAGAAAATGACTGAGGAAGATTATAGCAGTAAAGTAAAAGAAAATACCTGACTGGTGGCAACGGGACCATCATCAAAAAGTTTACCATAAGCTCTAAGGCCATAGAAAGAAATGTAATCCTGAGCTTTATGACCAAGAAGTTTATGAAGATTATGCAATATGGAATGCTGTCCTCTGCAAATGGTTCGATACTGCCAATGCATTATAGCTCTTACTGATGTTGCCCCACTATCATCAATGCCACCCTGTTAAACTTTCAAATCAGTTTAAATACATAAATCATTATTTGAACTTAAATTTAAAAGGAATTGGCCACCAATTAGAACCTGGAACCCAGGAAGAAGTGGTATCACAACAATAACCCTGAAACACTTGTTATCATTATATGCCCGCATAATACGCTGACATAACGCTTCTAGCACACGATTCCGTATAACTTCATCTCCTGTAAGACCGGATATGAAAAATTGATTCTGCAAAGGGTTGCCCAAGAATCAAGCAACAGTTGTGAGAATAAAGTGCATCATCAAACATTCAGGACCCTAATAACCAGATAAAATGTTGCTAAATATGCTACAAAGAGAAAGAATCAAAGCCTTTAAACCATCATTATGTCATTATCAACATATATTGAGGTGGGTAACAAATTTAAAAAAGAAAATCTAATCAACTAGTCAAATTACAGGCTTCTCTTGAATATCAAAAACTGCCTCTTTTTAATTGTTTGACTTTTATACTAGACCCTATTAGAATTAGACATCAAATAAAGGGCATTTGGTCTGGTGTTATGATTCTTTTCTTGCTTTGGGTGTGAGAGGTTTAGTTCGCTTGTTGTGACTTCAAAGTTTTTGCAGATAAAAAACAATTAGACATCAGTTCTGAAAATATTTCTGTATTACAAGTCTCATCTTAAATGCATGATATTGACCTGAAGAAACAACATGCAAAACAACTACACTTGTTGGAACTCAGAGCCAATGTCTTTAGGTAACAACAGAAATGGGAAGGATTATGCAAAAATCAGCATGCAGAAGCAAAAAAGACAAACCAAGCATAGAGATGGTATACAGAGAAGAACAGAACAGGGCAGACTTCTTGAAACATGCCCAACACCTGTTTTATAATAAAATGGCCATGAATATTCTTTCCTGTTTAGCCAGTGCTTGCTAATCTTTAGATACAAATTAAAAAGAGAAGAAGAAGAAGAAGAAGATAGAAAAGCACAGTAAATACCTCAATGTAGATAAAGTGTTCTGCTTTCTCAATGAGAGAACAATAAGCACAGTGAATGCTTTCTTCAACTTGGCTGGTGCCGGCAGACCACTGACTGGCACTCCTTATAATCTGTCAACAATATATGAGAGGTCATCACCAACTGACATTCCCTATAACGTGGAAGCTTCTCTTAAACCATAAAACAATTGTGGCAGAATAATAGTAAAAAAACAAGATTAACATTTATGTTAATTGAGTGATTATTATAAACTAGCTACAGAATGTATACAAGGATCATCCTTTCTTAAGGAAACAACAGAAGCTCCTGTGGCAGAAATGAACTATCTCTAAACGCCAAAAAAGCATATACTGTTGGCAAATTTAAACTTCAATTCCACCTTTTATTTTCCACTTACTTTTTTCAGAAGATAACAAGTTAACATTTTATATAGCACTTAAAACTGTCCGCTTTATTTGAAACCACTGGCGAGCATATTGGAAGACATAAAAACAGCATTATCGATAATGTTGTAGCTTGTGGAATTGACCAAAGTAAACAGTAAAGCTAGCAATTATTTCATGTTCAAACATAAGCAATGTTGAGGCTTTGAAAGAGAATAATCTAGTGAACCAAAGCAGAATCAGTAAAACCAAATAAAAACCTAACCAAAACCACATAGCATGCAATCACACCCCAGAAACACGTTCAGCAAACATAGAAGAACAGAGGGGCCATCCCAAATAGTCACTGTCCTCTGTCAGGATTCTATTATGTGTTTTTTTAGAAAATCAAAATCTGAGAAAATTTATGTATACCAGATTTCTCCTTTCAACAAACTTAATTGATATGTGAAATTGACCTTTTCAATTCTTATATGACTAGAAGCTGAATAGAGACAAGAAAAAGTTACTGATACACTTAAACTAGAGTAGATTGCCAAAGCCACTAGAGAAAACAAATTATGTTGGTTATATTTTACCAAGAATATTGGAATTTCAACCATCTTCATGAGTTTACAACCCACCTGACAACGGCATGATGCACGTGGACCAACAGATCCATTTTCCTCAACTAAACTGATCTGATTGTCCCACTCCTGTTTTTCCCACCACTCTGTGTCTGTAGTAAGCTGCTTTTTAAGTTCTGAGGGTTTTTTATGAAAATACAAGGCATCAAGATCATCTACAAAGCCCTTCATTGGTGTATCTGTAACGAAGGGTTCTATTTTTGACTTTTGGAAAGAAAAAGAAACGCTTTTTCTTGTAGTAGTGTCCAACCAAACTGACTTTGGGGATCCATTGGAACCACTCAATTCCTCAGCCTCTTGAGGCATAAGTAGTGGAATATCTTGGAAAGATGATCTAGAAGAAAAGGAACCCTGTCTTTTCATGTTTTTTGAATTATCTTCAAAAGCCTTGCTCACTGATTCTAGAATCTCCTGATTTCTACCCAAATAATGTGGAATAACCATGTGCTGCCGAGGTATGAGCAGTGGAATTGCTTCCTCATATGGAGCTTTATTTCTCTGAAAAAAAGCGTGCAAATAAGTATTAAGTTAAAGTGAAAACAAATTTCACCTGTTGAGAAATTCCAGCAAGGCATGGACCTTTGCATAGTTCCACCGCTGAACAAAGTGCCGAGCAATATCACGACAGGGTGGGCCCCAAAGGGCACAATGGACATCATGCCAAGGCATTCAAGGGTATTTTCCACGATCCAACTCATCTTTCATTGTTTCTTCCCATGAATTTGGTTCAGATTCCCTTAAGAAAAAGGAATTGAAAAATTGTTACACATCAAACAAATGCAAGCCAGAATTTAACCAACACATAATTAAGCAAACAAAGAACCATTTCCCTTTCGTCTCAAGAAAAATGAAAAATCCCAGAACACCTTAAACAATGAACAATCTGCAAGCTAGACAACCATTATGGCTTTCAAACCCCTAGCCCCCCTCAAAAAAGACCTTTTGTCTCAGCTGAATTGAGAGTATTCTGGGAAACAATAATAGAATTTCTACCCACAGACTCAGACCTTCCAAGTGCTAATTATTTTAAGAAAATGCAAATTGTCATTAACAAAAGGAGCTACATATGAGATAAGAATCAATCCACGGCATCCAATCGTTTGAACATGCAACAATAATATCAACTTTACAGTTTGAAAATTGAAAGAGAAACAAACTGATTACAACTTACAAAAATGATGGAAGATTTCCAGATTGAGAATCATTCTTTAGACAGACAAATAAATCATTTGAAAGGGGATGTTTGCTTAAACTTAGAAGCTTACCTTGGGTTATAATAGTCCTTTCCAGGCCATATTAAAGGAGGTTTGTCACCAATCTTGTGTTCAGGTGAGTCATAGCGACCAAAACATAAATCAAGTTCTCCAATAAAACAAATATGGTGATCAACAATTACAAGCTTTTCATGATGGGACCTACATGTAGAGAAATATAAATCCGAACCTGAAAAAATCAAACCACTGTTTACTCAATTGTCCAAATTATACATACCATAAGTAAACACCACTAGAGAAGTGATCAGGATTACGCAATACCCTCACATTCTCGTGAATTTTAAGAAACCTCTTCTTGCTATATATGCTGTTGATTTTCAAAGCAAGCACTACTTCTTTGTAGAGAAGGATATATATCTGCAATCATAAGCCAACCATGTCAGAGTTATAAGCTCTGTCCAACGTAGTATGGAGCACAATGTTCAATATTCTGATAGGCAAAATAAAGATGGAAGAACGGAAGAAAAGTACTGACTGGCTGGCAAGTAAACATTTTCATACAAGTTTCAGTAGTATGTTCCTGTTATTTCACTTTTTAAAAAATTTGAGCCAGGGAGAGAGAAAGAGATGCTTTTATTCATTAAGACAAATTGAATATACCTCTGCCATCAATAAAGTATGCTTGTCCATTAATATTACTTGCAAAAAGAAATTTAATAATCAAGCTATGCCTAGTAATCAAATTTAGATTATGAAAAATATATGGTAGGTACCTGAACCCCTTGCTTAGCTTTGGCTTCTACTAGAGCATCAAGCCTGGAGGAAGCATGAGCATGAAAGGGACGCCGTAGATACAATTCAGGGCAAAGCCACCAGCCACACATAAATATCTGCATAAATCTTTCAATTATCCTACAGGTACTTTATACTAGGGAGAAAATTATTAGTGTGATGTACAAAGTTCTGATTGCTATGTAAGAAGGCACAAACCTCAGATTTAGCATTCTCAATGGATGAAGCAACGGCATCAAAGGCTGCCATACCATCAACGAACCATTGGGCCTGACTACCATCTTCTGTCAAACCCCTGGGAGGAGCGAATGAGCCAAAACGATGAGGATGACACCAACCCTCAGAAGGCATAAGGCCTGCATCATTAATTGCAGCAACCCAATCTTTAACTTTGGCACCACTCTTGGTTCGTATCCTTATGCTCCGGTTTCCACAAGTGACCTTTTGAAGATCCCAATTATGGGTTAGAACTTGAATCTAACTGGATAGATCCATCTAAAAAAAGACATACAGCTTAGCTGAACCATTTCAGCAAAGATCCTTAACAAACCCCAAAATACATTTAATCCAGAAGAACCATGAATTTATCATGACATGTGCAAAAAAGCAAAGCCTTTTCATTATTTAAGGGACATAATATATGTCCATGAGTCCATCCAAAGTGACATATCCCCCCAATGAAGGAGGCATACTTGCATTTATAGTTCAGGCTTAATGACCAATGGATTTGTAGAATTTCTGTCCATTACAGGATCTTGAGAGAGAATATTAATTGCTGGCTTTTTGGTCCATGAGTACTTGAAAGGAAAGCCTGTGCTAGTTTGCTTCTAAGTTGTTTTACTTAGACACAGAAAGTTAGCTACATCCTGACATCCTGTTATCAATAACTAGCAAGAAGCAGGAAAATATTTCATAAAAAGCATGCTTCTTACCTTAAATGCATGGCGCAAAGGATTACGTTCCTTTACATCAACTGCTAATGAAACTTGGCCCTCACCATTACCATCAGAGGGTGGTAGCACATCAAAAACAATTATATCTAAAGGTTTGGTATCAAAAGGGTCTCCTAGCAAGGCCAAAAATCCAGGTTTGAGTACAGCCCACACCTGCATGTAATCATAAAAAATAGGACCAGTAAAACATGTGTTAACTGATCAAAGTTGAAGTGATTTTTTTGAAATTGATGGCATGATGAAGTTATCTATGCCCCACATAAAGGCATTCAATATGAAAAATAAAAGTAAGCCTCAACCCCATCTCTCCTCTCCTGCCCCCAAAAACCACAAAAAATGAAAAACAGAAGTCCTCAAGAATAACATCAGATGGTAAACAAACTGACCACAATGGAGATAGAGAGAGATTCCTAAAACAGGCCCCATGGATACTCTAAGTTCCTTTCATTATACCAAAGAATGGCACCTGGTCTCAAAGGTTTTTATGCAGTCTTCAGCCAAAATTAACCCTTCCCATATACACCTTTTATTATCCAACCTCCATATACTCAATATACTTAATCACAAATAAATCTATCAGTAGATTCAAAGCCTACTTTAGATAATGTTATTATCCTCCAAAAAGTAGTGAAACTAATTTCCTAGTCATGTAAATTACAATTTTCACCAAGAACCTTTGCCTTTTCAAACATCAATCCATCACCTAAACCTCTACACTTTCTTTTTTACCAAGGATAGATTTCCATCTCTACTTTATATAACTCAGCATATCTTCCTAGGTGTACCTCTCAGTATCTTATTAGAGTAACAAACAACAAATTGAAATATCACACATTAACTATGGTTTATCATGGTCTTTACTCAACACATAAATTTTGGAACCAAATGGATTTAACTATAAACCTGACTTTCAGAAATGAGATTGGATTACCTTTTGCCAGTTGTCATTACAACAATCAAACCAATTGCATGCATAACATTTTCTAGAATCATCATCCTTAACAATTTTTGGTAGATGCTTCACCATTACATAATCTTCCTTCAGCTTAGGGCCATACTCAGGTGAAAATGACAATGTTGAAACCTCCAAAAACTTGCAAACCTACAATACAGAATTGTGATATATTACTTTAGTTGGTATGAAAAGGAAAATATATGGACAAGAACTCACTAATACAGAGAAATCGGCAAGTGACTGCACCATAAGTTTTATGTTATATGCATTACAGGATGTCAAGAACAGAGATTGACATCCTTGACTGACAGTATCAAAAGGGTGTCACCAGTCAGGACTGGGAAGGTTTATCTGTTCCATTATTGTATCAGCTGAAACAAACTTACCATGCAGACATAATTTGGAAGTTTTCACCCATGACAATGATTTTTTTGAAGAGTGTAAAAATGATTGGAAAGTGATAACTCATCAATGGATCAAAATTCACAATTTTTTTAACCAAAAAAAAAAAAAAAACAGTAATATGACTGGCACAAGGGAAAACAGGAAGAACTAAACCATAAGTCTGAGTTTCTGTTGAGAATAATGGAAATAAGCTTGACAAACATCCAACTCTGGATTGTTATTACATTAGCAAGTCATGGGAATACCTCTCGGGAGTTGACGATTTCCAAGTTACCCAGAAAGTGATTCAAATATTCTTGCATTGCTACCTTTGCTCTGTCTGCTATAGAAGACTGCCTCACAAGGACGGGCCGTATGACGCCAAAGCAGCACTTGATGGAACATCTCTAAGTACAAAATTCACTAGCAAGAATAAGAACTATTTTCTAATTGGCAAATGAGACTTCAGTAACAACAGACAAAAACATGTACTTCATGTTCGGCTTCAGTTTTGAGAATTCAGTTAGCACCTGTTTCTAACACTCTCTTCATGGTGTAAAAGAACAGGATCATCATCTGGTTCATCTTCATCTTGCACAACTGGTGCATTATCTCCTATTCCTAGATTTTGAAGCCATTCTTTAACCTTTGATATAATAACATTCCAATCAAAACCATATCTTCCCAAACAAGCAACTACTATTAACAGAAGTTACAGAATAAAGGAAATAAAATTAAACTGCCACAAGCATAAACAAAACAAAGAAAAAGCACCATTTTAAGACACACCTGTTCTTGCTTCTCATGAATTTCTTCAAATAACAAGCGTTTCTTCAACGCAAAGTGTAGATAAAACACGTGCGGAGCTTTCTTTACAAGGTGCCATTTGAACTGGTGAATTAAAACACAAAATCAGTACCCTAGACATTAACTCGACTATGATCACACACATAAGAAATAACAGATTCCTTAGTTTAGGACATATATCAGCCTCTTATTTCAAGAAGATCAACAAAACAACATAACTGCTAGGGCAAGATACTAAAACAACCATTAGCAGGATGATATCCATATCGAAGGGCCTATAGCAAGAATTTAAACTTCCTTGCAAAAATGAAAGCAACTAGTCAATCTAGATAGCATTTTTTTTTTTTTTTTTTTGTTTTACTACGAACAAACTCAACAGCATATGGTAAGAATAATGCCAAGAAAAGCAGATGCCACATTATAATTATGCATGCAAATTCAAAACGTATCGCAGATATACAATTCAATCATCTATTTTCTTCACATTGGCTAGCGCTCGACTGTCCTAGCTTGAACGAGGAAAATGAAGCTACTTAGGAACTCTGAGCGATAAATCAAGTAAGAGAAAAGATCTGACGTGAACAGAACAGAATTTAGAAAGAGTGAGGAAGAGGAAGGAGAAACATACCTGCTTGTACCGGAACAGGAATGTATAAGTCAACAGCAAGGGACTGACATCGCCAGCGTCAGGCCTGGAGACGGAGACGATCGTGGCTTTGGGCAACTCGTCGAAAATAGAAGTGCCTTCGGGAGCTGGAGCGTAGGCGAAGGAGAAGAAGGACGCCATCGTGGTGGACGAAGATTCCGGCATCGAGTGGTACCGGTGGTGATGCTCCGACGCCATGAGTTTTGATGCAATAAAGGAGTACGCAGTACCGAAAAACCGCCGGATGAATGGAATGTAATCCTGAATAGGTGTCGGATCCAAAAGAGAGGGAGAAAGAAAAGAGATGGAAATGGAGAAAACGGAATGGAATTCGGGATTTTATTTTGAAGAGCGATGTTTTCGCGCGTTGTTTCTGAAAGCTTAGTGATGTTCATAAAAATTAGAGAGGGAACGATTCAGGATTTCTGATTGACTATTTTTTTGGTTTCTCTCACTCCGTTTTTTTGGGCAAAACGATTTCTATTTTTTATTCCTTTTCTTTGCCAAAAACATGCACAAGTAACCTCTCTGACAAGAGATGATACAGGAAAACAGCGACAGACAATACAACATTGTAACATTCTGACGAATTCCACTTAATTGAAAAAGACCAGCTTAAAGAAAGCTACGAGATCAGAAATTGTTCGAAAATGACATTATTATCTTAGGATCATAACATTCTAATTATAACTTGTCTTTATTGGTATAGATATCCAATTTGAATTATACCAAATTATATTATATTAATTATTTATTTAATAATATTTATTTTACAATTTGATTCAATTTAAATTATAAAATAAATTTTCATTTTTAAAAAAGATAAATGGGTTTAAGTTTGACACTAGAATAAATAGAGGACAAGTTTCATAGTACAAATTTAAATTCAACTGAACATGAAAAATCACAAGAAATGCAATACATCAAGTATAAGTCACAAGCTGTATTAATATTGCTTCCAACAAGGCGACTCAATTAATTAAGAAAGCCATCAATTGTGCCAAGTGAGGAAGGACAACAAGTTCAAAATTTGAGTAAGGTGGAGAGGAAGTTGAGAAGAAGAGATCCTTTTTTGTATTTCTCAATTAAATGTACCCAAAGAAATAAATTGTTGTATCAATACTTAACAGTCAAGGTCAGGGTTGAACTAAATCCGGATATTACCAAAAGAAATATTTAAAAATATTTCATCACATAACAGCTTTGGGCGTTTCAAAATTAGATAATTTATCGTCAACAAAAATTTTGACAGATTTAAAAAGAGTGTTGATGGGAACAAACTCTGCTGAGAAAACAAAGAAACATTAACGTATAAGTTCCACAAATAACTTAAAAAGTCTGACTTCTCACTTCTTAGATTTTTTAGCTCCCCTGCACAAAGCAAAATAAGGCTAGATTAGAGTCATTCCAAATACTTATGTACTTGATATTGATGGAACAACATTTTAGGAATCTTACTCGGCCTGTTCGGGGGCAGGTGCTGGTGCTGGTGCTGGTGCAGCTGCAGCCTTCTCTCCGGGTCCCTGAACATTAAATAACAAGGGTCAACTCCAAATATCCAAATACAAAAACACAACAAAGAGCAAGTTCCGTTCACTGGCCCATATACAATTCTCCAGCAAAACAAGCGGCAGCACTAGTGAAGGTGTAACACGTTCAGAGATAAAGAGAATATTCAACAAAAACTTTCCCTTCAAACTTGTATCGTGATAACCAATTTATTAGCCCTGCTCCATTCACAACTTATATATGAAATCTTATGCAAGAGGGACAACCATTCTAAACAGAAGCAGCAACAAAACAACCATTCATATCTTTTATCAGAAAAAATGTGGGAATTCATTTTGTTGTAAAGACCATGCAGAATAAATATGTAATTGGTGAATCAAAGCAGCCATTTTCAAATAGCAAGCTTATTGGAATCAGATTTCAGGTTGACTATTGAGATGTGAAAAGCTTATCAGTTTATGTTAAATGAAAAGAGATGAGAATAAAGTATGATTAAGATGTTAAATTTCATCCAAGAAGTAGCAAATCAAATATTAAGAACATCAATCCTCACATATGACAAAATGGACTCAGACTTGTAATACCTGTGCCAGTCGTTCTTCTCTCCTAGCCAACTTCCTCTCCCTGCTTGCCTTGTTCTTGGCACGTTTGGCCTCAAATTGGTCAGATAGTGTCTTTTCTCTCGCCTTCTCTGCCTTTGATTTGTGGATGCTTTCCATCAAGACACGCTTGTTCTTGAACACATTACCCTTCACCTTCATGTACATATCATGGTACATGTGCTTGTCAATCTTTTTGGACTCCCTGTACTTACGGAGTAAGCGCCTCAATACACGCATTCTCCTCATCCAAAGCACTTTTGTTGGCAACCTGGCCTCCCTGGTACCCTTCCTCTTACCTAAAAGAATTTAAACACCATGTTGTAAGCATACAATTATTGATTGAACACAAAATAAATAACATGTAAACTTAGAAATGCATCATTCGAAAGATGCTACTTCAAAAACTCCCAATAAATCATACCATATCCAGAGTGACGACCCTTTCTCTTGGCCTCCTTCATTCTGCGTGCACGAGCTCGGGAGTGAATCTTGGTGGGCTTCCTGATGATAAAGCCATCCTTCACCAGTTTCCTAATGTTCTGCCCTGGAGAAAGTAACCACAAACATCTTAATTTTTAAATATAATAGCAACCTTGACAGAAAGAAAGCAAGCACCAAAGAACCTGCTTTACAAACGAAATGAAAACGCCGACCACTGGAAGACATCAAGATAAATAAAAATACAAAGAAACAGTAGCTCATTCAACTTGAGCTGCAGATGTGCTACAAATGGAAAAGCAAAACACTTTTCTTATCCTTCTAAATTTCTATCTTAGAACAACACTTCCATACAGATTACAACTTAGATCACGCAACTAATTTCTCATTTTCCAGCGTTTTCTCAGACACCAAACAGATCCGTGTTCCAATCTATAAGACAACTCAATTACCGACAGAAAAGACATTGAGTCGTTGATTCAAACTCAAATCATATTATGCAAAACTGAATGGAATTGGCAGAGAGCAAAAGAGGAACCTACTGGAATTGGCCATGGAGATTTCATTGACCTCATTAGGATCCAGCCAGACCTTGCCTCTCCCGCACTTGAGGACGCTGGCCGCGAGCCGCTTCTGGAGCTTCAACGACACCATGGTTTCACTTCACTTCTCTCCTTCTGTGGTGGAAATTCAAGGGTTTACCGGAGGACGGAGGACGGAGGCGGGAGGAAGGAGGAGGCGCCTCTTATAGGAAAAGGGAAAGAAAGACGCTTAAAATTAGGGTTTTTGAGTGAAGAAGAGAAGAATGGATAGGTCCAGTTTTTCCGTATGGGCCTAGGCCTACTAGTTAAGATATGGGCTTATGGTAAATTCCATAGTGGGCCTGTGCCTTTTTCCTGGACAACTCAACCCAAATCCTATTCCAATTTTAATTATTTTCTATTCTCTCGTATATAATTTTCCCGCACTTTCCTGAGAAAATTTCTCCGAATCCCTAATTGGCTTCAATTATCATTTGAATTCCGGTTAGCAATTACGAATTTCGTACCGGAAGTCTTCGTCCAGAATGGATATCTCTCCGATCGGCGATACACGGGCGGTAGCCACTGCTCAAGACTTAGGGTTTGCGAAATTCCATCTGCATCGCCCTCACAGCTTCACCTGCAACAATCACCTAGCTTTATGTTCCGATCCTTCGGCGGAGACCTCCGAGTTTCTCCCCATCTATGCCTTCGCTCCTCCGACCGTTAAATCCAACCGCAAGACTTCCAGGCGCACTATTCTCAGCAGAAAGCGACGAACGAGGCGAATTACGACCAGCTCCGGTGATTCCGATGAAGGTGGGGATTATGGATTTTTTGGCGGTGATGGATACGGTTCGTTTGGGAGTGGCAGCGGTGGCGGTGGATGGGGTGGCAACGGGTGGAATTTCGACAGATTCGGAGGCCATGATTGGGATGAATCTTCGTCTTCGTGGTCTTCTCCGGCATTTTCTTTTATTTATGAGGTGGTTTGTTGGATTGCCTTATCTAACTGCGTGCATTTTGCGTTCAAGAAGATGGCGAGGGCAGTGGCTGCTGCTGGGATTGGGGACGCTGAAAGAGAAAAGGTTCCCATTAGATTGGCCTCAATATGCTGACTCTTCATCCTTCAACCTTTTGTCATTGATTTATGGGTACCCTGGATTCTCTGCTCGTATGTTTCATAATAAACTTCAATGTAGATAATAGTGGGTATATACTAATTATTATTTCTTTAAACCTGTTTATGATTCAGGTGATGTATATATTCTCATTGTTACTATAATTTCAGTCAGTTGATTAGCTTGTTCTGTTTCTTAATTGATATGAGAAATAGTTGCTAAAGTGATTATTGAGAATGATTAACATTCTTTTGGAGATTTAAGTTTATACTAGGTTAAAAAGATACTTGTGTGAAGATAATTTCTTCCCATCACCATTTGATGTGACATTTCATATTATTGGTAGGGAATTACTTTAGCTTATTAAAGATACAGCATTTTTGTTGGTTGCTTCATAGAGAGGCTTATGTTGCAGAGAAAAATAGATAGTGTTTGTTTGATAGTCACCAAATCTGCTTCATGGTATAAGAGCAGAGGATTGTCCACATTTGTTTATGTAAGGTTCTATAATCCATCTTGGTTTAGTATTAGTCTATTAATGTGGGTGCCTCGTGTAGAAGTGCTAGGAGGTTGACGTTGCAGCAGCAAAGATTGGAAGCTGCATGGATAACTTAATTGAATAGGTTGTCTTAGGACCAATGGAGAGCCAACTGGCAGTTGTTTCATGATCTAGTTGTGATTGTAATTGTATTAAAGCTGAAATGAGCAGTCTGAGCTCCACGCCACCTTTGTAAAGAAAATCAATGGTCTTGCATTGCATTGCTGCATGATAACATGTTGACAGACGTAGAAAATGAACAATGCAACTAAATCTCGGGCATAGTTTGATGAAATAGTATATGGTAGTAATGCAAAATGAGTCTATGTCTCATGAACACTGATTGCTTTACAATGACCTTGTAAGTGGGATTTGTTGCCTGATATTGTTGATGACCTTGTCATGTTAACAACTTGCAGCATTTGATTGTTATCTGCTAAATCTTGGACTTGGTGTATGACATCATTTATTGCATTTGGAACTCTGGTAATAGATGGGAAACATTTCTGCAGCATGCTGTTCTTACTATCCTTTTTTGTTACATGATTATGAACATAAATTTTGGCTCAAGGATCTTTTAATTCTAATCAGACTTGATGATAATTGATAATAACATGGCATACTATACCATACCTTCCATTTACATTGTCAAAAGGTTGTTTTCGTTTGGTTCTCATAGTTTTTTTAAAAAAGAGAGCCTCATGTCGAGATATGGCCTTCAGCTAGCATGAAGTCATAGTGTCTGCAACACCAATCAAGAAATTGAAATTTTATTTCACGCTTTTCAATTAATTTTCATGCATGAATGGGTTCAAATCTTTTAACCACCCATTAGGATGAAGGAAAGGAATAATGTTGGAATGGGAAGAGTGTTTCTTCATAAATGGATAGAGAATGTATTCTTTGGTTTGATTTGCAATATATATGGCATATTGCATTGTTATCTTAATATTTGGTACACTAGAATAACTTCTCATAGAAGAAAAGAATTGACTCTGAGAAATCATAAATTCTTACCCTCCTTAATTCTTCTCTCCTTCCCTTCTATCTCGATGCATTACAGTTTAGGAGAGTATAAAAGTTCCATACCTTATGATAATTGTTGACTGATGCAGTTTTGATGAGGCATGTATCCATGTGATGATATTTAGTTGCACTATATCTTTGTTCTCTTTCTTTCACTAATAATCTTTTTTTTTTTTGCCCTTTTCTTTTCTGCCTCAGCCTCAAGGGAGAAATACTAGCGTAAGATATTGACTACATTTCTCATAACCTTTTAAATTGGTAAGGTACAAGAGTTTGGCCTTTTGTTTGATGGCATTGAATCTTATTTGGCACTGATTTAGTCATTAGAAATTATAAAGTTCTAGTGATTATTCATTATTTAATAACTCTTTGAAAATTCAGTATAATCTATATAGTACTCATATGTCAGTGCATGAATTTTATGTTTTTTTTTTTTGAAAATTGAAACTTCTACACTTGAAATGCTCCTTGTTGATTCTTGGTTGCTTATCTTGTGTGAATTAGGATTAATAAGTCCTGCTTTTGGGGTCATTAGATGCATCTAATTTTGACCAAATTAACTGCCGAATCAATAGATGCTAATTAATCATTACTTCATTCCATAAAATTAGATAACATTTGACATTACGTTAATCTAGGATGATCTTCTTCTGTTCTTCATCGAAGATTGTCTTGTGTACACATTCTGTGCTAGGACAAGAATAAGGGATGACTGATTAATGATTATGGACATCTATATTAGCAGGACAGGGTTATCTTAAAGGTCCCACCTCGATTCTGTTTGTGGCCCATATAGGTTTGGTTCCATGTATCTTTCCTTTGTGTACACTCAATTTTCAATTGCTTTGTCCCCAATTTCTGCATATGCTAATTCACTGAATTGACTTGAAATAGTATTCTACTTTCTGATTTTTCTCCAAATGTTGATGCTCTGTCCCTGTTGCTGTTCATTTTTTATGGTCTTCAAAACCTTCTTGGAACGATATTTATCAGGAAATCTCAAAATTAAAAAAAAAAAAAAAAAAAAACTGCAAAATTATTTTTTGTTTTAAAATAATAAATTTTTTATAAGATAAATATATTTATACATAAATTTTATATATTATATTTAAATAAAATTTTAATTATTTATTTTTTATTTTTAATAATTAAAATTTATCACGATTTATAAATATAAAAGATAATTATATTTAATAAATATTAATAAATTTCAACTATAAAAATAAAAAACAAATAGTTGAGATTTTATATAAATATAATATGTAAGGTTTATATATAAGTATATTTCTATTCTTTTTTATATTTAAAAAAATATTTTTTTATCATAAAAAGTAACATTATTTCTATCTTTTTTTAAGAGATAAAATAAATAACAATAAAAATTGTTTTTAAATATTCAATAAATGAAAAACAACTATTATTTAGGCATGAAAGAATACTTTTTATTAATAAAGTACCACAAAAAATATTAAAACAATATTATTTTTATAAAACAATTATTTTATAATTTAAATTATATTAAATTCAAAAAAATATAAATAGTTAAATAAAAAAAATCTCTTCTCATTTAAAAGCTTTATTTTATAATTTACATCATACAATAATATACTCTTACTTTTGTTTTAAAATAATATTAGTTTAATTTTTTTCATAAAAATTTACTAAAACAGTATCATATTAATATATTTTTTTATAGTAGTTTCTTAGAAGGTTGGAGTTTTTTACACTTCTCCACTTGAGAAAGGAGACACGGAACTTTCCTCGATGTCACCTTTTCAAATCGTGGTTGTGCCTGTCAATTCAAAAAAGTGAATATTTGAAGTTTGGGTCCAAGTGTTTCAAACTTTCAATGGGTTTCTGGTTTTTGTGTTGAAATGAAGCTAACGTTTCCAAACTGGGAACTCCTGATTTCAAACCCAGGAAAATGGTCAAAAAGTTTTTATTCAATTCTCCTGTATTGTTAGTCACAGTGCGAATGGTTCATTGGTAATGCTATTTGACTGAACCAATGCCATACCAAATGATTTGCAGTCTTGCAGAGTTGGTAACTTAACCATAACAAAGCCGATTGGTTTATGCATTGGGCATGATATATGCCATCACTTTCCCATGCATAGAGATCTGTGACCCTACCCTTTGCTTCGCACATTACCTCAGAATGAATTTGCCATTCTACTTCAAGGTTACGATTCCCACAAATCTTTGAAAAAAAAGAAAAAATGATTTGGGATGTTTAATCAAAACAGGCGTTCCACGATGGAGACCAGAGAATCAGCACGAGTTTCCTTCACCTCTCCCAATGACAGGGCATGGTTATGCTCGTCGTCAAGAATGTCAAGTTCATCAAAATTATAAAATATTATTTTTAAAAATATTAATTTTATTTTTATTTTATTTATAAAAATTATTAATAATTATAATTATTAGTAAATAATTAATATCAATAAATTAACATTTTTATTTTTTAAAAAATTTAAAAATTTATTATTTTAATATTTTTTATGATGATAATAATCATACTACTAATGAGATAATGTTTTTAAATAAAACCTCCATTTCTCATAAACTTTCCTCTTCTTTCCGGTAATTTGCAGATGGAATTATAATATCATTTTTCAAATGTGCTTCTCCCGACAAAGAATTGTGAAGATCAAATTCTCATAATTTTGTAGTCATAGCTTTTATAAATTTTATTTATTTAGCATGATGTGTGGATTAATGTGCTTCAATCTTTTCAATGTCACATAACGGTAAGAATTTGTTTGTTACAAACATTGTTGATGTCTCTTTGTACAATAATTTACATAATATAATATTTTGTTAAATAAGTAAATACATTTTTTTTTATCTTAGTTGCATAAAGAGAGGTAAACATTTTTCATCATTTATCCTACTTCACTCACATGTGATACGATTCAAATTCAAGATTTTTTACTTTAAACAGAATGAGATGACTATTAAGTTATTTAAATTGTTGATAATAAGTAAATGCATACTAATTTAGGCATTTAACAAATTAAAAAAAAAAAAAGGATCACTCATAAATTGTTACCTTACCATTGTATCCACTATATTAAAATATCAAACCTTTATCATTTTCTATTTTAAAACTTCTCTAACTAGAAAAATAATGGATACACCATGCAATTCATTCAATACACACGTCAACATTTATCAATTTAACTAATTAAATATGTAACTTTAAATTTTTTTACCATTAATTTAAATTTAAAATTAATAATTTTTTAATATATATTTTAAAATGTGTTAAATCAAAAAATATATCAATTATTATCTCTTTACATATCACACACTTTTTATCTATCTTTTTAATGGTAGGATCCAAATTAATAAAGTTTTTTTTATCATTTTTTACAATAAAGATATCTTTAAACCAACTTAATTACAAGCATCTAACATAAATATCAACACACAAGGACGGAGCCAATGTAGGACAAGGAGGACAGCCCGCAGCCACCCCCAAAAATTTCAAATATGTTACATTAAGTTTTATTTTTTACAATTTTTTTTTCAATTTTTGAATTATTGGAACCATTTCAAATATAAAGAAAACATTTAGAATTTAGGTGAAGGAATCATTTCTTTCCATGTGATTAATTTTTAAGATATGATAATTTAGTCTAAGTAAGAAAAAATATTAAAAATAGTCAATATCTAGTTAATTATATTTATGTAACTTATATAAGTTTTTATATTAGTTATAGATAATTTTTTTGTACAATTTGTATTCTATGAAAATAATGGTTGAATTTATTATATTCATATAAATCATATATTTCAAATTTAAAGTTGTTTTGATATAGGTAACCATTCAAAAAAATAAACTATATTTTTATAGTATTTATTTAAGGGTTTTAAAGTTTATATCATTTTAAAAAATAGCTAAATATATAATTTTATTGATAAAATTAAATATATCTGATTAATGTAAAGTTTTACCTGCTTAACTTAAGTAGTACATATAAAAATCGATATAAATTATATTAACATAAACTAATAAATAATTCACAAAAAATTTTAACTTTTTACCCATCTTAACTTGGATTTTTGACTTCATCTCCGTCAACACAATCAAAAATTTTAAACATATTATAATTTAGTTAATTAAAAAACTCATTCATTCCACCCGACATGTTCTTCTCAACCATAGTCATGGTGATCCAACTTGGAATGTCTATTGAAAGTTCGACCACTTATCATTATTGCCATTCTTTTATAAAGAATTAATGACTAAATTCACGGAAGCACCAAAGGTTGTCATTTTTCAAAAGGCTAGGGCTACGAGTTGACATAAAATGAAGGTTACGAATGAAAATGTCCCATCTCAAATGTGTCCCATGTCCAGGAATTCTTCCGCAAGCACAGTGTTGCCGCGAGGAATAGGAATAGTATCAAATAATTTTAAAGTTATAATGAGCTGAACATAATATTATATAAAATTATAAATTTATAATTATAATATATTATTATTATTACTAAATAAGTGATTATTTTTAACATTTTAATTAATGGAATATCATAATTTTCTTTGATTTTTATTTTATAATCTCATATGTTAAACTTAAATCAAAATTTTTAATTAAATAGATATTAGTATCAACTCAATCAAACTTTTTTTAATGATTATCTGATTTTTTTGTTTAATATTAATTGTCAACGACTTAAATAATTCAGTGATCATTTTCTTTTATTATAAATAAGAAATTCTAAATTCGAGTAATATGACATGCGAGTAAAATGAATTAAAGGATAAAAGATAACTATCCCTTATTATACAATTAAAATAAAAAAAAATTAACTATAACTTAACTAAACAAATAATAATAATAATAATAATAATTTAACATCAAGAAATACATTAACTATAATTTAGCCAACCTAATTGTTAATCTCTTTCCCCAAAAAATAAGTAATTTTGAATATGAATCATAAGCGTCTAGGTAGGTAAAACAGAAACTTATGGCGAATAGTCATTGTACAACCTAGAAGAAAAAAAGGTAAACTACTCTTTTTTATTTTTTAAATAAAAGTAAACTACTCTATTTTACCGGTATGAATTAGAGAAATCCCTATTTAAGAATTGATCAACTACTTAACCACGCGTCCGCGTAATGTACCGACATTAATTGAGGGCATTATTCACGGCAGATGATTCATTGTTTTAATAGTTTTACGTACAATGTCATAAAGGACTGCACTAAAATTATATATATAAATAATAATAATAATAATAAAAATAGTAAAATAAAAACTATTTATAAGGATAATGATTATATTATAATTATAATATTATATAAAATTATATATTTATATTTATAATGTAATATTAAATAAATATAATATAACATTAAATAAGTAAATATATAATATTATACATAAATTACTAAATGAAAAAAACTAATTGTATAATGTAAGATTATAATATTATATACTATTACTGTTTTTTATGCTTATTTTTAATAAATTTAATTGAAATAATATTATATAGTATTATTACTGTTTTCTATGCTTATGTTTAGTAAATTTAATTTGAATTTTTAATTTTTTTAATATAAATTTCAAATAAAAATTTAACCATTTATTATTTTTTTATACAAAATTCCTGTTAAATGCTTTGATTTGATAAAAAAGTTTTTAATTATTATTTATATAATATATTAAATTTTTATTTAAAATTTATGTCTAACAAATTAAAAGAAATTAAATTAATTCTACTAAAAAATAAACAAAGAGTAACATTTTTTACAAGAATAATAAGATAAAAAAATAATTTTTAACATCAAGAGTTTTATTTTATTTAATAATTTTAACAGTACAAATTACATTGTACAACAATTGTTTTAATATCAAATATACTACACATTAATCATCAACATAAACACAATCACAAGCATAAGTATTCAGGGATAAAGATTAACAAGTACGGATTCCAGACAAACATAAGCAATAAGCATGCATAACATAGAGATTCAAACACCCATAAAATTGCAATACATCATTTAATCATTTAATCACTTAATCACTCCCTCCCTTAATTATTCTTTAATTTTCCCTAATAAATAAGCCGAAGTTGTTGATGCTGGTGATGTGTCACAAGATCATCCAGCATCCAAAGATCCAATGGGTCAGGCTCGCCGCCACCGCCTCCACTCATCTCCGTTGTCTCCGGTTCCGGTTCCAGTCCCAGGAACGATTCCAGGTTCGAGATTTGCTCTTTCAGCTCTATTTCATTTTCCATTTCGTTGCCATACCCATATGTCGTGTACGGGTCAGACGGTGGTGTGGGTATTCGTGGTCCGGTGACTTCGAAGCTCGCTTCGGTGAACTCGGGAGCGATGCGCTGCTTCTTAGAAGGAGGCCGGGGAGGGGGAGGTGGGAAGTTGAGCTTGGCTTTGTCTCCACGGATGCGCTTGGCGGCGTCATCGTAGGCTCGAGCTGCTTCCTCAGCGGTGTTGTAGGTGCCCAACCATACTCGGACACCTTTGTTCGGGTCCCTAATCTCCGCCGCCCACTTGCCCCATGGCCTCTGTCGAATCCCCCTGTACACGTTCTTACGTCTCTGCTGACTCTTCCCCTCTTTTTCTGTGGATTTCTGGCTATTCTCTTCTTTTGCCGCAACAACCCCAACAAAGTCCCAAGCCAAAATAAATTAATAAATAAACTCCATTGAATTATTTAAGATGCATTTATTCAAAGTTTAAAAAGAAAAAAACAAAAAAGGAACGAATCATATGATTCATATCTCCATTTCTTCCATCCTTTTGAACAATCTGCTTTTTTTCTTTTTTTGGATTTAATGAACAGTAAAATTCACGTGTGAAAATTCAAATTAAAAAAATTTACATATTCAAAAATACCTAAATTTGAAAATCAGATGTCGGAAAAACTAATCGGAGAAACTATATACGGAGACCTAAATTTGCAGATAAAATCAGAGTAAAACAAACTACTATCATGCAGAAAAAAGAACGAGAAAGAAAATCTAGAGTCTGCTTCACCGCGGAAACGAAGAAGATGAGGAACTAAGGCTCGGAGGACTCACTGAAGCGAAGATTGGAGAAAAAGCTTACTTTGGTTGAGTTGCTTTGGTTTCGGAGCGGCTTTGTTCTCGACCTTCTTAGAGGAGTTGTCTACAACAGAGCCTAAGCCAAGGAGGTCGGACATGGTGTCGATGTCGGCCCAGAGGTCCTTCGCCGTTACGTTCCGGCCGCGCTTGACGGCAATAAAATCGGAAATTATTGCACCTCCGCACATGTTTTGGTGTCTGTCAGGAAATGACAAGTGAGAGAGAAAGGCTGTAAGAGAGTCATTGAATTTATAGAGCGACGGTTGCAACTAATCGCCAGAGAAACAGTGAAATGTCGTACTAGCGTTGGATTTTTTATTATCTTTGATCGGACGGTCCAGAGGGAATCAATAAAGTTGAAGTAAGAGAATGGGTATTCTTTTTTTACCAAAAAAAAAGAAAAAAGAAAATGGGTATTATTGCTTATGGTCCTCAGCCTCTAAAATCCATCAGTTTGATCCTAAACTTCTTTTATTTTTTTGATATTCCTAACTTTTTTTTTTTGATGATTGCATCTCAAACTCTTTAAATCTTTACAAAATAATTTTATTGGTTGTATAGTGCATCAAGTCTATGTTAGGAAATATACGATTTAAGGTATAATTAGAATATTAAGATTTTAATGTAATAAATAACAAATAATTAAGTGAATATT